TGTTTAAATTTACAAAAGTCTCATGGAACAGTTGAAATATGGATGTTCAAAATTATATAATAGGATTATATATATATATATATATATATATATATATATATATATATATATATACACACACAAAGACACAATGGGTATATTATTGCCATTTTATATTTTTAATTTTGCATATGCACATCATTTGTTTTTGATTTTGTTGAGAGCACAGTATAATAGGGTCAGTGACACAATTCACTCTGCCAGAAATTTGGAAACAGCATTCATGCCAGAAGCTCTCATCCAAACATTTCAAAGTGTTTGGGTGTCAATCTGAGGACAGTGCAGAGGATGTGGAAAGAGTTGAATGAGTGTAATGGTGTACAAAGGTGCGGCAGCTCAGAAAACTCACTCTTATCACTGAAAGTTCATATCTTGCAAGCCAGTTCTTTATTTTTAACTCATGCTACCTGTTTAACAGTTATAGAACACTTAAAAATATTTTAAACAAAAAAAAAATCTACCTGAGCATTTAAAAAATGTAAAATAAGATTTTATAAGAAAATTAACAATTTAGCTTTATTATCCAATCCACATTTCCTGTAACCTCCAGTAGTAAAAGAGGGAGAATAATGATTGTACATGTGTCTTCCTGCTCCTTGCAAAATTTTCACATATTTGCATTTAATGTCACACCAGACCATCAAGGAAACCAGGTGCAGAGTTAATCTCAGATGCCCTCCCAGCCAGTAATGCAAATCCATGATTCACCCAATATCAGTGGTAACCTCATTTGACACAGGTGCCTCTAGGTTATAATCATGGGAAAGAACCATATTACATGCAGTTATATAAGCATCCATCCTAGTGAGGTGATTGGCAGTCTCTCAAATATTGCAAACAAGAATGTTAGGCCCACATTTCAGATGAAAGTCTATAGAGTTGCATACATGCACACTGGCCAATGAAAACTGACAAAGTTTGGGGTTGAATAAAATGTAATGTTAAATACATGAGATTAAGCCTCATTTCTGAAATAGTCAACACAATGGTATGTTTACAGAAGCAATTACTTTCAAACTCCTCACACGGTTTCAATCCTACCAGTATGCCTTATGAATTTCACCCACGTTTTTTTTAAATCATTTCACCACAAGCAATGCAATAAAGTCACAAGGAATTACTGAGTGTGAGAGAATATAAGAATAAGAAAAAGAAATTATTAAGGAGATAGAACAATAAAAGAACAGGAATTAAGTAGACAAGATAATCAGGAACAAAAGAGAAAAATCCTGGAAGCACATCTCTAACAAAATCTTCACTCACAACCTCGCATATTCAAAATGATGTGATTAATTAAATTGTCTTACCACAAATCTCATGTCACATTGTGTTCTCTGATATTATATATCTGAAATAAAAAGTACAATATTGAGTTTTTTATGTGGTTCATTTATAATAACATTTAATTAGACACATTCAAAAAATTTTAAAATTTGTGAATAAAAATACACAATGTCAATTGAAAATAAAATTTAACCTTTCTTTTAGATTCATGATAGTTTTAATGCAAGACTACTTGGCATCTAATCTATAAATAGTGTTTTCTGTCTGTATAATCCTGCATATTTATAAATATTTTAATATATTACCTCTAATTTTGATATTGAACACTTGCATAATATCCTCTATGTTTTTGTTATAATTATCCTTAGAAAATGTTATACAAAACTAATTAATCTTTATTTTGGTAAATAAAATTAAATTTATTATCCTATAAAGAATGACACAATGTATACTCAGCCATAATATATAACAACATAATCATAAATAACACAGAAAATCATACAAACAATGAAACTTTGAGAGCCAATATTTATGGGTCAAGTTTGAGCATGTTGGATGCTAAAAGGTTAAGATTCCAAATTCTCCACAACTGGGACAATAGCCTAATTGATGAAAGTGATGGTCTGTAAATTTGGTAACATTGTGAGTTCAATCCCTGGGTTGGGTAGTGTGCACTTAGGCTCAGTGGAAACATGGCTAGCAATAACTAAGCAGTACAAAAAATAAGAAGAGATATCCCTAGACATGGGCAGTAGAGTAAGAACAGTCTACCCCCATAGATTAAATAAAGAGTTCAGTATGGAATTCCCTGTAGGTTATCCAAATCTATATATACTTGATACAGGCCAGAGGGCACAATGACATTGTGATAACAACAAAGATGAGGACAATAGGCTGAATCTAAATAGTATAAATAATGATAACTCATCCCAGAAATTCAAAGTTGCCATAGCTATTTATAATATCTTAAAAAAAATTGTAGAATAGACTCGCACGTGTGTCATTTGGGAGTAAATATGTTAAGAACTCAAAACTTAAATTTTTAAGAAAATTTATATCTAGATTTATTGAAGCATTGTGCAACAAAATGGAAAATTGTTTTATTGCTGTTACTAAGCAGTCCTGGTAATAAAATGCTATGAGTAAATAAGATACCTATGTCTTTTAGTATGACATATGAGTTCATTAAGTGTTTTTATACAAAATATTACTCTGTACTATGTTTCCTCATTCTGTTAAAGATAGAGATCACAAGAACTGTAACTCATAGGGTCAGACTGAGAAAAAATTACAGTAGGAAAAAGATTATCACTGAATTCACTCCCTTGCAAATTATATTACCTTCTGTGCATAATATACGAAAGGTTATTTTTTTCTTTTTCAGACAGATTATTTTAATCATATAAAAAAAAATTAGACACTGCCAATAGCACTTCTAACATCAATAACATAAATTTCATAATACTACCCTTTAACACTACAAAATTTTAAAATAAATTAGTTCCCCGCATAAGTTGGGTTTTTACCACCACCTCTAAGATAACTGGAGATATAATTAGGAACAAAAATAGATTCAACACCACTTTATAAGCCAGTATTTATCAAATAAAGTGCTTGCAATGTAGATACACTTACATCGGTGAGACATCTCGAAAGCTAAAAGCCTGCATCTATGAACACAACAGAGACCTATGTTGAGACAACCCTTTAAACTCACTCAAAATACACAGGAACAAGACTGGACATAACTTTGATTTTACAAATGCCACCCTAATTAGAAAAGAACATAATTCTTTATGCTGAAAATACTGCTAGGGAGTTCTGATAAATTTTTACTAACTATAAACACCAGTCAAAAACACTATATGACATTACCAACCGTTATTAAATTCATTTTTAAAGAATTTAAAATGTATAATTAACTACCACAACTAGTGTAGATGCACAAATGCCCCCAAATTAACATGCAGACAACCTTAAACATAAATAATGCCTACTAAACACACACACACACACACACACACACGCATATCTATAATTATTCGAATCCCACAGAGACAAAGTACAAATATGATGTACTTACACACATAAATTATACACATGAAGATTGTTTGACAAGTCAAATGCGTGTGAAGTCTGCTTAACCAATGAAAATCAATCAACACAAAAATAAAATTACTAGAAAAAATATTTTCTTCCATATCTCATTCTTTGATGAAGCTTTAATAAAAGCAAAACATGTTAGATTTATAAAAATTTCCTATTTTTTCATTATCCAATCATTTGTATATAAATAAAGGATAATACACTAATTAACATTTAATAGTCATCTCCCTTGAAAAATCTATTTTTTTGTTTTTTTTTTTATCAAATTCAGCACAAAGATTCCATAATATTATCATTCAATTGCAAGTTACTCAGAATTTTTTCATTAAGTTAGCACATTTTAAGAAGTTAATTCAATACCGCTAGCTGTAATGCAACTATTTCAGTTACTGAGATGTTATATACATACAAAGTCAAGCATTTTATATTCTATAGATTAAAATTTTATAAATGACATGAGTGGGTACTATTTCTGGTTAAATTTAAAATTTATAAATTTGTTGCTCTGGTAGCTAAGTTTCTGTATAGGTGAATAGAAGAATGAGCCCCTGCTTTGCATTTTTCAATTATTACTTGACTCTATTAGTTTTTTATTTTGATGTTGTGTAATACCAGATAATTTTTCTCATCAGAATCCATCTTGTATATTTACAAGATATAAATGCATTGAATATTGGCTGCCATATCTGGTCTGGTCCTTCTACTATATATATCTCAAGATTCTTGACAAAATTAGAAGGGTCTATAATATAATCGACCTGGCACCTTGATTTGAGTTACTTTCTCATTGCCGTAAGGTAACTTGTCTCTGTCCTTTTAACAAATATTTTCATGACAATTTTCTTGATGAGCTTTCCTTCTTGGTGACTCAACTGCATGAATTTAAGTGTGCTACTAGATTGGCAAATAAGTTTCACCGTTTTCCTGTTGAACTAGTTAAATGCAACCATTAATTCTATTCTAATAATTTCTTTTCTCGCACATCTTGCTTGTGGAACCTTCTTCTGGTTTCTTGCTTCTCTGCCACCTACAATCTTCAAAAATTTAAAAGCAACACCAATTTTGTCTTCCTGTCTCTTGTTCTTTTATTGTCCTTTCTCTGCATTCAAGACTTCTCATTCACTTTCACTCCCAGTAAACCCTTGCATCTTAGTGGCATTATTGCCTTGCTTAGGGTGAAATAATGAAAAAAAACAAACAAAAGAAATGATATACTTTCAAAAATCATGATATATATTGTTAGATCTTAAAGACTAAAAATATACAAATACACTTGGCATATAATATTTATGATGTAAGATTTCAAGCACTTTTGTATATTTTGTCTACCATTGAAAGTTTACACTACATAGACTGATGATTCAAGAGTACATATTTCTCCTTACTACTTCAGCTCAAATTTAGAAAGAGTATATTTTGATTTGTCTATAAATTTTTCACACACAACTGAAATCCTTTGGTTTGTTCAGCCTTTGTTAGGTGTATAATTTATAAGATGAAAAAATATCTGAGTCTCTTTTGTTGCTTAAATAGAATATTCTGTTTTGTATAGGCTTATGGCAATATTACATTGAAACATTGATTCTTATATGATCACTGAAGTTAAGCAATGTTGAGCCTGATCAGTACCTAGATGGGTGACCACTTGGAAATACTATGTGCTGTAAGCTTGGATGTACAGTTGGTGTAATGGATAAAAGCTTTGAATTGAAAATTGGAGGGCTGAGTTCCAATTCCAGTTAAGTTCATTATATTCACTTACATGAAAATACTCTTAAAAAAGAGAAAAAACAGCTATGGGTTAATTAGTAGGACTTGTACCAGTAAAATCATTATTATCTCCAAAAACTTCTTTCAATCTAAAAATATTTTCTGGCTTTAAATAACCTGCAAAAGGTTGATAACTCATAAAAAATAAATCAATCAATAAATCCAGTTTGTATATTAGCAAACATTTCTCAATCACAATTTCTGAAAAAAAAAAAAAAAAAAAAAAAAAAACTTCTTGAATAAAAAGCCAATGGGCTGTACATGTTCTCTGTGCTAATAATAATTAAGAGAAAAAACAAACAAACATGAACCCTGTTTCTAGTTTTTTCATAGAGAATTCATCAGGATATGCAAATTTTGATCTGACCAATCATGAGTATTTCAAGTGTGTTCATATATAAACTCCTAAGTTTGACTGCCAAGGAGTGGTTATTTAATGATTTTGTGTGATCATATGAATTGGATTTTGCAACCTGTATAAATCCTTTTCTATTAAAAGTTCATTAAAAGATCACTAGTCTATTAGTTTAAACTTGCTAATCTGTGGAGAGGTTTCTCACTGAAAACCAAAAAGTTTGTCCAAAGGAGGAATTTTTTCCTTTATTAAAATCAATTGTTTTTTTTTACCAATGACTACTACCATGTTTTTTGTTGTTGTTGTTGTTTTTTTTTTTTTTTTTTTTTTTGGACAGGCTAGCATGTTTAGTGATAAACCAAGAAAGAGCCAACATTAATAATAAATACCATTTTTAAAAGACAGGTATATAGACAACTATACCAACGCTAACCAAGAAATAGTTGGAGAGGCATATAAATAGTACTAAATTTTAAAAGATAAGTGATCAATTCTGTCTACCTACAATGGGTGCCAATTTTTACAAACAACAAATACTAATGTTTAAAGACAAAGTAAACAAAGATCAAATCAAATAAAAAAATATTGGATTGTGACTGATAAAATGAGTAATCTAACTAATCAGTGCAAGTCAAAGTAAGTTATCACATGGAGAAGAAATACTAAGGTGACCCTTATGTCCTTATCACAGCTGTCAATTTTCAGAACTTTAGAATTTCACATTTTCAATTTGGTAATCATGAGAATATGGGATATAAATAGATAAGAATACACACAAACATATTGGTAAGCATAAACATAAATCTATACAAACATCCATATACCAGATGCATATGCAAACATTTATAGGTTATAGACATACACATAAATTATTGTATTATATATACATATATACAAAAGTCTATACCATATGATGCCCAAGTACATCATTTTTAAAATGGAATAACTTTCATAACAGATATTTTGAGGATTCAACACAAAATTTTTTTCTATAGCCATCTAAAAATATTTAAGTTATAACGTTGTAGATTTCCAACTATTTACTTTTTAACAAAAGGCACCAAAAAGCAACGTATGTATAGACTAAAGTTAATGAAAACATAATTTATTGCTATAGCTTGTGAATTTATTTCAGAATCATATTTTACTCACTTATAAAATTATTTACATTTAAATTAATTTTTAATATTCAATCTGTATTAAAATGTCTCTATTCAGTTATGGGGATATTGTCTATCACTAACATTAGTCTGAGCGCAGACTGCTTCTTGGTAGCTTTTACCTAAAAGTGAATTGTTAGGCTATGACATTAAATTTTTAAATATTTTTAGATTGCTATCAAGAATAATTTCCTGTATTGAATAAAACAGATTTAAAATATTTATTTTTACAAAAGTTATTCAATTTTAAAAATGGGTGTATATTTTTGTGAGTCATATATTGACAAACCATAACATATTACATTCAAGGTAATGTTTATAACTCTTGTGTTTGTAGTGTCTTAACATATACTGGTAAATCTTAGGCTATGCATGTTCAGGAAAAATTACATCTGGTAAAAAAGATCCTTCTATGGATATGTGGTATCAAGCCTGTTGACAGAGCAAGCATGGTATAATTGTATGATAATCTGGGCATCTCACCTCTGGTTCTGTTGCTGATTACCAAAAGACTAATTCTTGGGACATGTACACTGAAACAATTCATGGCTGAAGCAGTGTACTGAAAGTGTTGAAAGAAGTCATGGCAAAGAACAGTCAAAGAAAACTTGGAGAGAAGACATCAACAATAAACTCAAAAAACTGAAGTTGAAAGAAGACATGGTTCTAGACCAGCTATTGGCAAACTGCAGGCTGTTTTGTTTTCTAAATGGTATGCTTAATTTCATGAGGAAAATAACATTTATTAAGATTTTTTTTTTTCATTTTCACTTGTTCACTCACATTCTCTCATACATAACCACAAAATGTAAACAATGATTAAGTACAATGTTTCTTGAATTTTGTAACTTTTCGTTGAAGGTAACGTTTTCATCGTTTTAAACAATTGGTGATTTTCACTAAGGAAGATCATATGTGTAAACAATTTTTGCTTCAGAAACAAAAGATGTTCATAATTCTTTTCCTCTGCAGAAGAAATTTATTATTTAAAACAATTATTTTTTGTATTTTTAAATCCATAAATCACATGCAGCAGCATGTATTAATCACACTGCCAACAGTGATAACATTATACTAAGATCTCAATTTTTTAATAAGAGAAAAATCTTTCTCCAAAAAAAAAAAAAAAAAATCAACTTTTCCTAAGAGAGATTCTTATGAGTGCAGTCTTCTGTAGTGAAAATGGTTGTGGCATGGTCAATGAAAAATTATTTTGAATTTTTAGTAGTGAAGCCCACCTTATGATGAGTCATATCTCGTCCAGCACACTAATCAGAAAAGGTTGCCTATTCCTGTCCTAAAAATATTAAAAATTAATTTATCATTCTCCTTATAGTGCATTGACAAAAGAGATTTATACTGAATTCCCTAAAATTAAGCAACATCAAATCAGATCATTATTGGCTGGGTCAATATTAAACAATATCATCAAATGCAATAATTACAAAACATTTACTTTTACAGTGTAAACAGATACCAACTCCTTTTATTTTTTAAATTGGATATATCTGTACTAAGGAATATCAGATATGTACACATTTTTATTTTTTAGTAGTAGTTATGAGTGTTATGATGAGCTGTATCTCATACAGCCCACTGTTTGAAAAAGGTTGCTCATGCCTGCTCTCGACAGAGTAGTTTGGAGAAGTGCTTCCAAAATGTTCAACTCTTGTATCAAAGAGATAAACTGGATAGTGATAGGGTATAGCAGAGATACATACACATATTTGTATATTATGCACACAAACCTACACAAAACTCATATACCAGAGACACATATATTCATGCATTTTACACATACGAGAGAAGTGGCTGTTTGGTAAGATGATTTAACAGAAAACATGTTAAAATGGAGCCAACAAAATATCTTTGATTTTGGTTGGTTGATATTAGTAATATATTACATGGCAGTGGAAAGAGAGAAATTTTCCTTTTGTCCTTTTCTATAGCTAATAATCTTGATATAATCTTTACATAAATCTGAGAAACAGAATAAAGGTTTATCTTACAGGTCATGTCTTTTCTATCAGCACAGCATTGATTTAGAGAACAAGTTGGAGAGGGGGGAAAGATAAGAAAATGGAAAGGATTAGAATTCAGTTTTATTCTCTTCTTGCTCTTCTTTGATAATGTTTTTCAGACGTTTTTTATAGACCATTACAGAAAAGGACATTTTTCATTTTACATCTTTTATAAAACATTATCATCTTTCATTTGACCTTATAGAAAAAAAATCTTTTAATTAATTTATTTTTATACAGGCTGTTATAGAAAAATACCATTTTTCAATTTACTTTTTATCTATAAAAAATTGTAATAAAAAATTTTTTTATTAATATTTTTTTTAAATTTAAAGGTAAAAAATAACCATTTTAAAAATCTCTGTCATTTAAAATTTAATATTTCAGAGTGTGTATCTGCATGAAAAATTCTTACAATTAATTATGCATCATATAATTCAGTCAGTTAAGTGTCACATGTAGTACAGGCTTGGATGGTCATCTGTTTTTCAATACATGACTGACTAGGCATATCTTTTTGCAGTAGACTGGTTGTCAACCAAGGCTTTAGAACTTCATCTGTCCTCCTATTTAACCCATAAATGAGTGGTGTGAATAGATGGAGTCATAATTTTCCCAAGGGTGTTTGCATCTAAGTGAATGTAACAAGCCAGACTAGAATTCAAACTTGGCACTCTGAGCCGTTATCTATATAGCATATAATTAAAGAAACTAAATAACATCCAAATGCATATAAACACTAATGTAAATCTTTACATTCACAGAAGGGATAAAATGACACATTTAAAAAGGAGGCTATATATATATATATATATATATATATATATATATATATATATATATATATATAAGTATGTCATAAATTTCTTGTGGAGTCACAATCACACCATGTGATGTTGCTGTTGTTTCAATAGCAAGTGAATTTTTATAGGGCTCAGGTACTAGTGTGATAATCAATATGGACTGCCTTACAGAGCTAAAATATGTGGATTCATGCCTTATCCAAATTAGAAATGAGTGTAAACTATCCCAGTTGAATTTTCCATTCTTTATGCCATTAAGTATTAGGCCACCCACACCTCCCTTTATAATCATACAAAGAAGATTAAAGGATTCTTATTTATAAAGAAAAATGATGCTCAAATTAAAAGAGAAGGTTATGTAAATGCAAAGACATAAAGCTAACCAGATACATAGATATACAAACATGTAAACAAGTCTTTGAAAATGGTTTCTCAAATATGAGGGAGGACAAAAAAATAACTGTAAAATTAACTTCAATATGAACTCAGTAGTTTCTTTCAATTTTAAATAAAAAAAAGAAGAAAGTAAAGGGACACTGTGATAAAAAAAATTAATAAA